TATAAGCAAATATACCTTCTGCTCAAATATAAACGAGACTGGCTCAAACAACAAAAACGGTTAATTATTCTTCAATATTTATTTTATCCCCTTCAAAATAGTCACAATTAGAGGCGATACACATATGCCACCTTTTTTTCCAATCTTCCTAACACTTCTGGTAGGCCGCTTTAGGTATGGCTTTCAGTTCCTTCTTCGAATTCTCTTTTATGACTTCAATCGACTGAAAATGCTTTCCACGAAGCGGCAATTTAAGTTTAGGGAAAAGAAAAAAGTCACACGGTGCCATGTCGGGTGAATACGGTGCTTGCGGAACAATATTTACGTTGTTTTTGGTTGTTTGAGCTGGATTTTGGAACAAGTAGAGCAGACACACGTCTCATGCTCAAAACATCGTGAATAATGCTATGAGCGGATCCATTTGATATGTTAAGCTCACTAGCTATCTCTCTTTCAGTCACACGACGATTTTCCAACACAATTTTCTTTACTTTTTCGATGTTTTCTTCGTTTATTGACGTTGCTGGACGACGATCATGGGGCAAGTTCTCCAGCGATGTACGGCCGTCCTTGAACGACTTATACCAATCAAAAATACGTGCACGTGATAGGCAAGACTCGCCATATGCCTTCTGCAACATTTTCACTGCGTCCGTCGCACTTATTCCATTGGAATAACAAAATTTCAAACAAACACTTTTTGCTCAACGTTAATTTCCACAGTAAAATTCGATAAACACACTCGAGGTTGACTTGTTTATAGTGCCTTAAAAAAAAATTATGTGACAGATCGCGCTCAAATTTGACATGTAAACATATAACAGTCCTGCCAACCTAAGCAAAAAAAAGTATGGCAATATGTCATGTCCTTGTCGAGTTATGGATAAAGTCTCGTTTTGCGTTGAGCAGAAGGTATGTGGGAGCGGATGATTGCAAATCGAAAATATTTGCTTTTTTAAGAAATTATAGTGATTTGAACCTTTTTTTATTTTCGAACCCATATGATGTCGGTCTTCGCGGGCTGTTGTCGTCAAAAGCGAGGGAAGAGCACGGGAGATAATGTTTTTTGCATCGCACGTTGTATACGCTAGTATGAGTTTGGACATTGCAGAGGAATAACGTGTTTTATAGTTTTTTATCCTATAAAAACCAGTACAAAATATCTTCGAGAAGTTGTAAACGAGACGCTGACTTGTTTTGCTATATTTGCGGCGAATTTATTAAAATGAGAGAAAAAGTATGACTGAAGTATACATTACTTACTTACCTCAATCTACCTGTTAAAAATCAGGACAAAAAATGGGCTTTATATATTTGGCATGGTGACTTTATTTCCTCCTTTTTTTATAATAATTATTAACTATTTTCATAAAATTATTAAGGCTAAAATATATTAAATTTTGCCTCTCTCCATCGTTGGACAAGCTGTATTCTGGAATTCGCCGACGTCTCTTGTTGTTGGTGAAGAGACTACAAAGTCACGCTGTATTTTTCATTGGCGATCTTATAGCATTTATATGAAGCATTAACAACAATGATTTCAACGTCCCGGACGACCGAAAAAGTTTGAAGATGAGAAACTGAAAGCATTACTCGACGAAAATTGTTGGCAAATAGGCTGGCACAGAGCTGAAAAAATAGTAATGACGTTTGCACTGCAAAGAAATTGGAGGAAACCAAATATTTGAAGTATTTTTTTCCAAAGCTTTCAGAGGCGAAAATAAAAGCTAGCATCTTTTTAGGTTCTCAAATAAAAAAATGTGGATTGTGATATTTTCTCGAAGTTACTTAGCAATGAGGAGAAAACAAGCCTGAAACCATAGTGCTTACAATTATGACTAACTGATCACTGACATGATTGCGAATTTCTGCATCATTGGATGTAGAATGTCTCCAAAGATGTTATACTCACATTCAGATAAATTTAAAGATAATATGGGAGCTTATTGGGAAGAAGAAGGAGAACGCCAGTATAGTGAGAGCATGATGGGTGACCATATTTGGGTGTTAATAAGAGAAACTTATACGGAACATGACAGAAAAAGTTAAATTATACATTTTTAAGCATTCGCAGTCAATTTTAAATTGTCTATTGTAAGTATGAGTCCTAAATGTATGATCGGTATATGTTAATAAATTATTTATATATGTATTTTTGTGTATTTTTATTGAGTTGAATGGTTGAATTTTTCCATTTTTTATACATAAAAGCAAATGCTGAACTTTTTTTTTATTTTTATGCTTATTTCGAGTTAGAAAAGCAACAAAAATAAGGTATGTATAAACCGTGATCAAAAATGCTGCTGGCCAGTGTTACGTGCAATATCATTACTTTCGGCTCACGCGTGTCTCGGCAACTGTAAGGTATAAGCAAAAACAACGCTATAAAAGGGTGGGTAAATAAGGAAATGATTTCGTATAATTTTTTATGCTTTTTACTAGAGTAATTCGCTGTAATAAATTTATGAACATACTCACAGATTTATGTATAAAAATTAGTTAATTGCTTGAACTTTGTACCTAAGTCGTAGAAAAATTTGTTTATGACACTTATCTAGGCCACCCATTAGCTAGATTTATACATAACTTCAAGCATATAGTGTTGGAAAAAATATTAGAAACAAGCTGATTGCATATGGTGCCTTCAAATGTTTCATACAGAGCTCAAGTCATATAGCGGTTGTTTCTAATTTTTTTTCCAGCACTGTATATAGAACAACTGATAAATGACAGCAAAGTATCATATCGTATATCCATACTATGTATGTTATGCTTTCGTGTGTAGACAAAAAACGATATTAGATGTCGTAATCGATTATGGTGTAGTCTTCATAATAAAGCTTATACCAGCCGCAGATAAACTTTATATACGTTTTATAGCTATAGAAAGGAGTTTGCTGTATAATTTCACTTTTGCCCATGTTAGCTAGCTGTTGCTGTCATATAAAACTTAAAGCTTTCACATGATACGTGCAATTAACTCGTCAGCTATTACAAAAATATTTAATATTTGTTTGAACAAAAAAATAAGCTTTTGCGAACGTTTCGGTAAAATACTGATTATTTATATTATAAATGTTCTAGTCATTTAAAAATTTGAGTTTCTTTTCGATAACTAAAATTTATGTGAAAGCTTTATAAAAAATGGATTAAAAAAGTCTTTAAGGAAAGCTTGCTTAACGCTAGTATATAAACATTCTCTCAGTTATTGTCCATTATTCTTTTAATAATTAAAAAAAACTGCTGTTGAACCAAAAAAAAAGCTCCAATAGCAAAAAAGCGCTCATGTGCGTTTCAAAAATCCAAAATTCTGAACGCTGTTAAACTTTTTTGAACAAAGCTAATCTTGACGCTTGTACGCAAGCGATTTATTAAAGCATTATTTGTAGAACGAAAGCTGCGAAGGTACTTATGAACATTTAAAAGTAAAAAACAAATGCGTAAATTTAAAATTTTCCGTCAAATAAAACATATTGTTTAGAATCGTTATAGAACAGAAGTATTTGTAAGCATTGCGTGAACCAATGAGCTTTTAAAGCTTTTGAGACATGTCATAAAAATTTGAAACTTATAAATTTAATTAACTTAAAATTCTAAAAAAGCAAAAAGTAAAAGCTTTTAAATTTTTCACGCAATTCGAAGCTTTAAGCTTTGCTAAACGTTTATTGTTCCATGCAAGCTTTCCACTTTGATTGATATTGATCAAATTGTTATGTCTATAGAAATTTTCATTTAATTTTCATACTTTTTTATACTTGATACGTAATTATCTTCGGTACTGATAAGAGCTTGTGCAATATAATATAACTGAGGTTTATATAGAATAAGAGAACACAAGTAGATAAGAGTGTATATAGCTAATTAACAAGATAGGGGTGGTAATAAATTAATTAAACGCACATAATTAACTTATCTCTGCTGCTCAGTAGAGTAAAAATAGTTATTAATCAGGGTCGCAAATTGGATTTCTTTCACTCGCTCTTGTAGATACTTTGGCAAAAAAGAATAAAAAAGGAAAAGTTGAAAATATCATATTTTATGACAAAAGAGAAGAGAAATTAAAGATTAAATATTTAAAAAAAATTTATTTTAAAAGGATTTGGTTAAATAAAGCCATTCAAATTGTTATATTTTTTTAACTTTCCACATGAAAGAAATTCGCAAACAATTTTACGAAAATAAAAGTATGCGAAGATATAATCCACAAAATAATAATTTCGCTCCAATCACGTAGTTGGTAACAACCAGAAGGAAGGTTGGAGGCGCTGCAAGGTAAATACATACTTGTAAACGACCAGCGTGGCAAGCAGAGTCGATAAAGCCAAGCCCGTCTGTCTGCATACACGCGAACTAGTCGCCCAGTTTTCGTGATATCATTCTGAAATTTTGCACACATTCTTTTCTCCTCCAGAAGCTGTTCATTTGTCGGTACCGTTGATATCGAACCAGTGTAGGATATAGCTGCCATTTTAACTGAACGATAGGAATCCTATTCATTCGACTATTTCATTCGACGAGATATCTTCACGAAATTTGGCGCAGGTCATTGTCTAAGCCAATAATATAATCTACAAAAAACTTTTTCAGATCGGACCTCGTAAGCATCTTGCTTCCATACAAACTGTCAGAACAAACCCTACTTCTTGCATGGAAAACTGTTTTGTTTGACGTGATATTTTTGGTATGGAGCTTTGTACAAAGCCATGCTACAAGCTCCGTACATATTGTTCGGATCGAACCCTTATAGCATATAGCTGTCATACTAACTGACCGAACAAATCAAGTTAAAGGTCAGTTAATACTCTTCTGCTATAAGAAATGCAAATGTGTAAGGCATTCAAGCTTCAGTGTAGCCAAAGATAATGTTTTTTCTTGTTTTTTGTGCCATTCATTTCCATTTGTGGAAATTTTTTCAAGCAAATTTTTAGTATTGTATTAAGTTTTTTTTTTTTGGAATTGCTAGCTTAGAATTTTTTTAATTAAGCCAAAATAATTTTATATTTTTAAACAAATTTATTTATCGTTAACTATGACTATAATATACAAATATCATATTAAAGAAAACTTACATACATGTATATGTATACATATGTCTGTACAGACGTAGTGAATATACAGTACATAAATTCATAAAATATTTAGGCCATTGCATCGGTTTCTTAAATGACTAAATAATAATGCCTTTGTTAAATTGTTCAGCGTATTCGGCATTGCTACTTTCCACACCAGTACACACACACGTTTTTCATCTTCTAGCCGTTGGCGACTTCGCACCGCTTTCGGCTCAAAATAGCTACTATCCCTTTTATACATTTGCCTTTGTTCACTAATTCTGCTTGGCCTTTTTCACCTTAGGCAATTTGTTTTTCTTTCCACAACAGCAAATCAGCTTGAATACTTTTATGATCACAAACGCGCTGATGAGAACAATTGCGAGCAGAAAGCCGATCACATCGACCGACAACAGTTGCCAACGATTCAGGTGAACCGCCGGCGATTGCATATGTTTGGCGCCCTGATGCCGCAGCACATAGTCCACCCAATAGACAACCGTTTGACGTGGTGTCATTGGCCGATCGCGATATAGACGTGAAAATTTTTGCACTGTCTCTTTATATTTGGGATTGTGTAGCACATCCTGTATGGCACTGTTTAGACTTTCCTCTGTCATTGTTATGTAGTCGACGGAGAGGCCATAGCCGGAGTTTACAACATTTGCCATATTTGATGGCTGATCGCCGAACAACGGTATGCCTACCATGGGCACACCATGGTACTGTGACTCCACAACGCTACCCATGCCGCCGTGTGTTATGAATAGCTTAATGTTAGGATGCGCGAGTATGTCGTCCTGTGGCAGCCATTCTCGGAAGATAATGTTCTTCGATTCGCCAGGTAGTTCGTTCGGTGCCCATTTCCATAAGACCTTGTAAGGCAATTTTGATATGACATTGAACATTATCTTTATCTTTTCCTCGGTTAGATGGGAGCCTTGTATGTTGCTACCTAAACTGAAGTAGATAACGCCTTCTTTAGATTCATCCAAAATTTTAGCGATATCGGTGGGTAGTGGATCGGGTTTCTCCTTGACTTGTATGCCACCAATTTCAATTAGGTTGGGCACATTAGGGCGTATGGGTCCTTGGCTGAAATGGTGGTTGGTGAAGACAAGTGAGACGTTCTTGCGCACTTCATCGAGTGGTGGATAACGGTCTGGCGGAAAGTTGTATCTAAAAAAGGAGTAAAGAGAGATATAAGAGTTTAAAAAATAGCTTACAATTTGTCTTAAGATACTTTAATCATTTTAATCAAGCTCGCTTAAGAGTTCAAAAGTCCAAACAAACACTCGTAACGAGTTTCAGAGTTATATTATTAAACTTGAAATCGGAATAGTTTGCTAGCTCTATAACTCATCGATTTCACATGGCCCAACACACAAGATCTTACGCTGCAATCTAAAGGAAACAAATTGCGTTTAACCTCCTTAGAGCTTGAATGGGTTTAACTACCGAATATCTTCTCGCACTTGTTAGTTTACTGAACTTTTGAGTCACTTGAAATCATCCTTACTTAAAACACTTTCCGAATTTAACGCAACTCACTCATAATACTTTTGCGATTCCCGTTCCACCATGAGTGTCATATGATATGTTTCAAACAGCGCTACGACAAAGTTTTGCACTCGTCCCCAAAAATCCAATGGTTGTTTGCGTTCACAGAACAAAGTCGGCACATAGGCGGACTCGATTGGATTCTTAACCAAATTGTGTACGGCGAAAATCGGTTGAACCATAAACGAGACCACAATAGGGACTTTAAAGTGCGCACCCAAACCCAAATGAAAGTCGTTCATGAAGTAACCCAAAATGAGCAGATCAAAGCTGCCTTCGCCATGTGTGGCGAGGAATTGCCGCAAACGCGGATTGGTAAAAGACTGATTTGCCAACTGTGTGACCTCCTTAATGAAATATGGATAGCGCGCGATTAACGGTTGCTCTTTTATGACCAAACGTTGTAGGAATTTCTTTGGAAACAGCGGCAGATCCAATTGTATGTAATTGTATTTCGCCAATTTGTAAGGATTCGTGGTCGATGACAGCACGGTAACATTGTGTCCAGCATCGGCAAGAGCATCCGCGACGGCACAATGTATGAACAGATGTGATGGTGAAACTGATGGAAAGAAACCGAGAATACGTGCGGAATACACCAAAGTTGGAGGTGCGTTGAAGCCACCAATAACGAGGACGATAAATACGACGACAGTAGCGTGTAGAGACATATCTAAAGCGCGACGAAGCTTTGCGTTACTGTGTGGATCGCGTGTCTAAAGGTGACTGAGTGCCACTATAAGATTATAACGGTTATTAATTTGTGCGCATCCATAAATATTTTAATTTTTCTAAGTTACTAGTACTACTGCCTAGAAAATATTTACGTAAGGATTAGTAGTGACTGATACCGCTCAACGGTGTTAAGCTAATAAAGCATGTAAGATCATCCATTAATCGCGCTATTTGCTCATGCCCCTGGCTACTGTGTAGACAAGGCTGCAAGCTGTGAGTATATACGCGGACCGTTTGCTCAATGATAGCGACGTAATAAGGACAGGGTGTTGAAACAGGCGTGGCGTTTGCGATAAGGCGGCTTAAATAAAACAAACGCTGTTACTACAGTCCGGCCGTACTAGACTTGTTAACAAAGAGCTGTTGATTACTTTTTTTGATTTATGGTTATCATTAGATAAGAAGGTATATATTTGTGAATCCTAAGTATCACCATTCCACTATGTATGGAATATATAAGGAAGGTATAAGAAGATGAACATTTTTTTATTAAACTAATTGCTTGAAACTCTTAATTACTAAATGTAACGCTTAGTTTTAAAGACTGTAGGCATACAAAAAAAGAGTATATGCATATTAAGACAGAATTATTATTTTTTTTTTTAATTTTTATCTCGAACTGAATACTAGTTTATTATGGTCGGTACAATAACTTGTATTTTTCTTGTTAATCGTTTTTAAAACTTTTTGGTATATCGATGTTTGGACTCAACAAGCTGAACTTAAATTCCCTGAGTTAAAACTCTTACTAGCGAAATAGCGAAATACCTTTCAATTAGCTGCCACTAAAGTCATTAGTGTTATTTATTATTATCTAAAATAGTTAAGCTATCTCTGCTTTGTTGTATATTTCTAGTACCAAGTCGTTTCTAATAATTTTAGTGAGCTATTTTCGATCAAAAGGTACTCCATTAACCCTCTAAGTAACTCTCTAGTAAAGCCAAGCCATACGCTTAACTCAATTAACTTAAAAGTTTTTTTTGTTAACCTTCTAAGCATTAGAGTCCACTCTACTTAATCAGAATTAATTTCAGTTTGCTACAAAATGCACACAGGTGGGTGTCACCTTCAAAACTCACTTATAGTATTTACTTTCGTGATAATCCAGCATCGTTTGTATCACAATTTCTTCGATCATAGCGACAATCATGTTTTTCACACGTTCCAAAAACTTCATTGGCTGCACCAAATAGCCGAATATACCCGGCACGTATGCGGGTTCACTGGGATTGCCCACAAACTTATTCACTGCAAAGATCGGCTGAATCATGAAGGATACCACAATGGGACAGCGAAAATGTCCCGCCAAACCCAATTGGAAATCGTTCATGAAATAACCGAACAGCAACAAATCAAAATCACCCGCCTGATGTTGCCGTAGAAATCGTTGTACGCGCGGGTTGTGGTGCGTTTCATTGGCATTCCGATTAATCGCACTTAAAAACGAACCGAAACGCCGCCAAAAGGGCTGACGTTTATTCACAATATCGGTGGACATGAGCGGATGGTCGCCCATCGTTGCCAATTCGATATATTTGTATTTCGCCTGTTTACGCACATTCGGCCCGGAAGCGATGACGGTGACGTCATGACCGGCTTGCGCCAGCGCATCGGCAACGGCGCAATGCACAATTATATGCGACTTCGAGGGTGAAGCGAAGAAGCCCAATATGCGTGCTGCGTCAACGCACGTTGTCGGATACACGCTGAGCACACAAGAGAGTGCGATGTATGCAGCGGGTAGCCAGTTGGTGCGTTTAGCGCGCTGGCTCATGCTTTGCCTATTATTTTTTTTTTTATGTATATTTAGAATTTGGCGTGCGTGCGGTTGTTGTGCGCGTCTGTGCTATGTGTCGAATACTAAGTGGTAGAACTTGTTTTCGGTAAGCATAAATACTCTGTAGGTAACAGCTGATTGTTTGTGGTGGTCAGTGCAACTGATACTTGGAATTTAGAGACTTATAGCGAACGCTCATTATTTTTTTATTACTCGTCTATTGTGTGTTTGGTTGCGTCAATCTATTGGTGCGGCAAACTTGCTCTGTGGACTGATGCATTTTGGATCGATACTGGTTAGTTTTGAGAAATAATTAAGAAATAGTAATTTATAATGAACTAAATTATACTATATTCTATTACACTTAATCTATTAGAATTTTTGCTAGTATATCGCTGGATTGGTTAAAATCGGTGTGCGACTGATTCCCATTGCTCGACTGAAAATTTCACTACTTCTGAGTAGCTCCACGCTGGAAGAATTTTTAACTAGTTAATTGATAGTCTCAAAACCACTGCTTCTGTTGAAGCCGTACTAATTTTCACTACTGGGATGTTGTCAAAAAAAAAAAATTTAGTTTACCGAATTTTCGTTTTTTTTAGTGGAGACTTCGTTACCGTGTAGAGAGTTTCTTGGTGAAACAAAAAAATAAACAATTCTTAATGCATAAAAAACTTTAAGTTGAAAGGTTGCCATATTTAGTACTCGTATCCGTAGTGACATACGTTTTCAAACATATTTACGTTGTTAAATAATTACAAACTTGTCCGTGCGTAAAAATTAATTCTTCCATTAATAAAAATAGACACGCGACAATAAAATTAGACACTCGAGCCAAAAGTAGTTGAACTTTGTTTTACATATAAAAGCAGCTGACAAATTTTAGTAGAAAATGTGAGCTGTATTATATCAGAGAAGACTTGCTTGCAATGCTGTTAACCATTACCAAGCCTTGTGACAAATAGAACAGCTTAAATCACTCGCTTACTCGGTTATAAAAGTAGAGAAGTGAGAGATCCAGCTGATATTAAACCCACATAAAGATGCTAAATAAATCGCAGAATATAATCTGTCAGGAATTAGCGCTATGACCCTCACTATGCAACGAAGATTTGAGTCAGGTACAGACTGAAACCCGTAAGCAACGAGATTAGTAAGAAGATGTCGTATTTTAGGTGCAGGAAGTCAAAAGCGATTATCACATAATTATTGGCACTATGGTTCTTTAAAATTTCAATTTCAATTATATCTATATTTCTTAAGTTCTCACAGCATAAACATTAGCAATTTGTACTAGTGACTAGTCTCGATATTTTTTGTGGGTTCGTAGTACTTTTGTGTAGGAGGCCTAAACTGACCAAAATCCGAAAAGAAATCCTAATCGAAATATATTTGAGTTGTTGCGCTAAGACTGACCCCCCTTGGACTTTCTTAAATGATCCATAAGTAAATATGTAAGAATCTCTTTTAATGTTGGTGGCTAGTGAAAAAGTTTGAGTTTTAGTCGGGAAGTGCAGCAGTCTTTCATGTAGTGTTCTTCTGTATAGAAAACCGATTTTGGCATGACGAACTTACACGTAAAGATTTTGTTGCAAATGATTACTGAATACCGAAATGAACATTTCCTCAATTATACCGGCAAAAAGGTTCTTCACACGCGCCACGAAATCCATTGGTTGTTTTTGTTTCGCCATCAAAGTTGGTACGTAAGCAAACTCGCTAGGATTACCAACCATTCTGTTGACCGTCATAACTGGTTGTATCATAAAAGACACAATTAATGGACATTGAAAATGTGCCGCTAAGCCGAAATGAACATCGTTCATAAAGTAACCGGCTATTACTAGATCAAAATCGCCAGGGCCGTGCTCCTGTAGAAAACGCTGTACGCGCGGATTTGTTATGGAATCGTTCGCGGAAGTGGCGATCGACTCCAAAAAAGTACCGAATTGCTTATAAAACGACATCGAACTTTGCACCATACTAGCGATGAAGGCGTTACCAAGTGTTTTGCGCTCAAGCTCTATATACTTGTACTTGGCATTGGGATACACATTTTTAGCAGCGCCGAAAACAGTGACGTCGTGTCCAGCCTGCGCTAACGTGTCGGCGATAGCGGCATGTATGATGAGATGCGATATCGAAGGTGACGGAAAGAAGCCCAGTATACGCGCGGTAGTTGCCAAATCGAAGCGCGTGGCGGCAAAACCGATAAACAGCAGTAAGCTGCATAACCTTTTAGGTGACATGACGAATAAAGATCTCGTTCTCTATCGATTATGTTTCGACTACCTAATTGCTCACAGAACACTTCGCTTTTCCCTGTACTACGTTCTACGCGTTCGAACAAACAAACGACAACTGAGCGCCGATTAATAATGAAAGCAATTATATATGTAAATATATTGTATGTTGGTTGAGCACTTAAACAGAAAGTGATATTTTTTATCTAACTATTTATATACTCACTAGGAGTGATTTTCTAATTACTTTAAACTGCTATCAGTAAGTGCTCATGACTTGCGAAGATTTTCATGTATGATGTAATAACTGTACTGAGAGCCGAAAGAATCTTACCTACATGGCGATGACTTGCAAAATTCTGAACTAAGAAGTGCATGTTTAGAACGCGAGCGTTGCGAGCATCTCTGCTTTCACATGTACACAACATATCGTTCAGCAGTCCTTGATTTGACTTCATGCGAGTCCTCATTATAAAGCATTCTTTGTGGGTTCGAAGCACAATTGAGTAGGAGGCCTAAACTGATCAATCGTCTATTCGAAATATATTTGGGTTGTTGCGCTAAGACTGACCCTTCTTGGTACTTTCTTAAAAAGCTTGAGCATTTGCTTGGAACTATAACAATCTTTCATGTGGTGTTCATTTGTAAATAAGAAAGATTTTTGAATAACTATGCCGAGTTAGCTTCACTTTGTTAACTTACTCGTAAAGCTTTTGTTGCAAATTGTTACTGATTACAGAAAAAACCAACTCCTCAATTATACCGGCAAAAAGGTTCTTCACACGCGCCACGAAATCCATCGGTTGTTTTTGTTTCGCCATCACAGTTGGTACGTACGCAAACTCGGTAGGATTACCAACCATTCTGTTGACCGTCATAACTGGTTGTATCATAAAAGACACAATTAATGGACATTGAAAATGTGCCGCTAAGCCGAAATGAACATCGTTCATAAAGTAACCGGCTATTACTAGATCAAAATCGCCAGGGCCGTGCTCCTGCAGAAAACTCAGTACGCGCGGATGTGTTATAGAATCGTTCGCGGAAGTGGCGATCGACTTCAACAGGTTACCGAATTGCTTATAAAACGGCGCCGAATCTTTCACCATACTCGTGACGATATTGTTATCAAGTGTTTTGTGCTCAAGCTCTATATACTTATACTTGGCATTGGGATACACATTTTTAGCAGCGCCGAAAATAGTGACGTCGTGTCCAGCTTGCGCTAACGTGTCGGCGACAGCGGCATGTATGATGAGATGCGATTTCGAGGGTGACGGAAAGAAGCCCAGTATACGCGCGGTAGTTGCCAAATCGAAGCGCGTGGCGGCAAAACCGATAAACAGCAGTAAGCTGGATAAGCTTTTAGGTGACATGACGAATGAAAATCTCTTTCTCTATCGATTATGTTTCGACTAAATAATTGCTCACAGAATTTTTTACGCTTTTGCCTGCACTACGTTCTACGCGTTCGAACAAACAAACGACAACTGAGCGCCGATTAATAATGAAAGCAATTATATATGTAAATACATTGTATGTTGGTTGAGCGCTTTAGAAGAAATTGATATTTTTTATCTAACTATTTATATACTTCCTAGGAGTGATTTTCTAATTTCTTTAAGATGCTATCGGCATGTACTCATGACTTGCATAGTTAGTTTGTTTAAAGTTACTTTGTAGGTTAATGCTTAGAGATTATATATCATGGATGACTTCCAAAATTGAGAACTAAGAATTACGTGTTTATATCGCGAGCGGCGCGAGCCACTCTGCTTTAGTATGTACACAACACTTCGCTCAGCATTCGTTGATTTGACTATATGCGAGCGCCAATCACAAAGCAGTATGCGCACAGACGCTACAGTGTGTTTAACTATTAATGGGAAACCAATTTTGTTAACTATGTTTCAAATGAAAATTATACAAAAAAAACATAACTGACAAGCAATTTCAATTTGCATTCTACTGTTAATTTTACATTAGAAAAAGCTACTAATTCTTTCTTTCTAAAAATTATAAAATGGTTTTATAACAACTGTGTACCGAAGTATCAACGCTTCGTGCCCGATAGATAAACAAAATTGCAGAGCTGACAGTGGGCGTGGCTGGTTTAGATCCTAATTAAAGCAAATGACGTGGTCGACAAAAGGAGCTAAAGTAAACGAAGCTTTCTGCGTCCTCTTCTATGTAATGAGGCTTTTCTCCGATTACCAGCTGCTTACAGCCCTTAACTTAACTTTAATTTGCTGGAAAGGCAAGGTTGATATCTGTATTCCGTGTGGTATTACCATTCAGAGCATTATTAGGAAAGTAAAGATTGTGGTCTGCAAAATAGTTTACAGAAAAGTGGCTAATTTTGCCACCCTTTAGCTCTTAGATGGCTTTTCCGGCCAATAAAAAGCCTGTTGGTCTCGTAGAGAGCATTGGTTTTTAAAATTTATGGAAGCGCTAGCGTGTCTCTACAATTCTTTGGGAAAGCTGAGATTGTTTTGTATCACTCCAACTTACGATTCGGTCCATAATTTCGTGTGCATACTTGCTATTGTAAATATTTTTTAAACCAAATAACTTTCATTCTTGACACTTACTTGTAGAATTCTTCTATTGATGTCTCCATGAAGCCATACATCAACACAAATTCGAGTAGGTACCACAAAAAGTTTTTCACTCGTTCAAAAAAACTTAATGGTTGCACCATACCGCTCAGCTGTAAAGGCGCATATGAAAGCTCAGCGGGGTTTCCCACCCAGCTATGTATCTTTTGCGAAGGCTCCATCACATAGAACAAGACTATAGGGCATTTGAAGTGTGCGCCCAAGCCAATATGGAAATCATTAATTAAATAAGTCAACAGCAACAGATCGTAGTCGCTTTCTTGAGAGGTTTGTAAGAAATGTTGCATTTTCGGCTGTGCCAAGGTTGCATTATGTACACGTAATATTGGATGCAATATACCTATGTATATGGATGTATACATGCTTGGTATTTTTATGAAATTTTTAGTCAATTCATTGCCAATCGCTGGTCCATCGATACGTAGGTAACGGTATTTAGCGCGCGGGTAAACGTTCGTAGTGGCACCAAGCACAGTTACATTGTGTCCGGCTTCGGCCAGCACTTTGGCCAAAGCACAATTCATTAACTGATGTGAACGCATTGTGGTAGGGAAGAAGGCGAGTATGCGTGCACATTCTCCGCTGAGAGTGCTGCTAGAGAGCACGAGCAGAACGCCGAACGCAATAAATGAAAAAGTAACAGCTGTCATTGCTAATAAATTTATTAACCGTACGCGTACAAGGAAACGAGGCTACTAAGTGGCCTGTGGTATACGTTATAGCTGCAAGTACCTGATAAATGATAACGCGATCGAATGTCGCGATATCAGTTTATTGTGTTTTCAATCTTATCTAATGGTTTTATTGTTTATTAAACGGCATCAAATTATTTCAATGGTTAAATTTGTTTGTATTATATATAATTCAGTAATTGGAAATACATAGTAGCGTAATATAAGTCTAAATATTAGCCAACTGCAAGATCACCTTTAGCTCTACAGATTATTCCCACAGCCGTCTGTGTAGTTGCTTGAGTAACCTGGCTTACTGTCTACTTAGATATAGGTTTTTTTCAATTTGCTCAGTTCACATTACCGAATAGTTTTTAAGTCATCTGAGCGCTACAAAGCAGTTACTTCACTTTTAATATAGAGCTAGCTACGAGATCGCCTGAAGATCCCCGGATTACCCCATTGCAAGTAGTGATAGTCACTTAAGCATTCGCCAGACACTGCTCCTGCTTTACTTATATGGAACTAGCTGCCTACAATATCACTTTAAGATTCTTAGATCACAATACTTCAAGCCTTGATAGTCACTGAAGCATTCGCCAGACAGGGCTACTGCTTTACTTATATAGACCTAGCGGCCTGCATGATCACCTCAATATTATAGGATCACATCACTTTAAGCTTTGATAGTCACTTAA